CATCAATGTCTTCTATGTGCAGAACACTTCACACCAGAGGACATCTTCCAGCACTATGAGCAAAGCCATGGCTACTTGGACACATACGGGCCACTGTTTGCTGGGATGTGGATGAAATTTCACCTAGCACACACCGCCTTCGTGACTCCATGCACTTTGTGTGAGGCAGAATATCCCAAACTTGACGACCATGATGTACATGCCTCATTTCGCTTGCTCAAGCACCAGTGCCCAATCATTGTGCAATTGGCTCAACTGTGCTCAGCCATAGTGGTGGACTGCATCAATGGCAGACACGGACATGCCGGACTCAATGGACCTGTCCACCCTACTTCAGGCCACCATGGGAGCATTGGCGCCCATGCTGCTGCGCACGAAGCCTGCAAGCGGAAACGACCGCCTGGGGGAGAAGAGACAACGCACAGAAACACCGTCAGACACAAGACACACGGAACTGCCTCAGATGATGCGCGCGGCAAGAGCTGAAGCACGAGGTTCAGCTTCAAAGCATCAACAAACAGGACTCCTTCATTTTTTCACCTCACCAGGCGAAGCGGGGATTCAGCCCACTCTGTTGAGCACCACTACCAAGTAGACGGAAGCCACGCAGAGCAGCAGCCCCCCGACTCAGCCACTGAGGATGCTGCTGGTCCAAGCAATCTTCGACACTCTGATCGAGCGGGTGACCAAGATATCCAACCTGGATCAGGCCTCCCAAGCATGGCAGCAGACCTTGAACACGCAGGTCATCATGCCCGACGGCACTTGGCCTTACCTGATTTGGAACCACACCACGAGCAAACTGGAAGTGAATCAGAAGCAACGTGGGTTGTCCATGACGACCCTTATGGACCTCCTGACGTCCAAACGGGAGCACCTTCGTCGCCCACTGAGCATTCAGAGGACGCAAGCATTGAGACCTCCAGTGAGCGGCGGCACCGTCCCATGGAAGACGCAAATTGGACTACGGGAGACCGAGCTCTACGATCTGCTCTACAAGGTAGCTCACTGCAGTGCATGGCAGCTACTTCAGATGACCATGCAGCCCCACAACGCCAAAAGGTGCAACAATGCCAACTCCACAGCCAAGGGGAAAGCCTCCAAGAAGGGGAAGGGCAAAGGCAAGAGCAAACCATAGCCCTTCCATCGGGCCTGAAATTGAATCTCACCACCGCTCGCCGAGCTCTTTGTGAAGTGCGCTTGGCAAATCCATCATGCTGGTGTTACCTGAACGCCACACTCACAGGCCTGTTATGGATGATGATGCGCAATCCTCCACCGGAGGCCACCATCGAGGAACACTGGGGAAGCCAGGCCCATGCCTGGATTGCCGTGCTGCGCGGAAGATGGACGCACCATCTCCTTTGGCACTTTTTGAAATGCCAGAGCTTCAGCGCACACACAATGTTGTGCGGCTGAGTTTTTGCTGAGTGTACTTGAATGGAGTCAGTTCTCTCAGTCGATCACTCTTGGGAACAACGCTTCCACACCGAGGACGGAATCCAGGTTTGGGAAAAAGGAGGGCAGCGCTGCTTACTGACCTTTAACTGGGTTGAAGAGCTGGACTCCCCTGAATTGGGCCTCCAAGATTGTGTTGATTCCTGGCACTGCAACCTGGACATGCGAGCTGGCTATCTTCATGCCTCTCACTACAAATGCCTCCTGTCACCAGGGAGCAGCTGTCATCCCCGGTGAGCATGCTGCAGAACGTCAGCCTACCGATCTTTGAAGATGGCTCCATGAAAGTGTCCCATTATGAGTACACCCCAGCCGCACTGCTATGCCATTTTGGCTCTCTGAATCAAGGTCACTACATGGTCTTGGTGAAACTCCCCAACAACACGTGGGTCGAAAAGGATGACAACCTGTCACCCTCCTACAAGATGGAGCTCCCCGATTACACGTCCACGGCCACGACGATCGTCTTCCTGATGAGAGTGGCCGACGAAAGGACGGCGCCTGACCGCCAAATTGAACAGTTGATCTTGATGCTCCGAAACCAATGAGCATCCGGTATCCCAATCTTGCGGATTGGGTTGCGCAAAGAGCGCGTGAGCTCTGCGTCCGACAAAGACCCAAAAAGACATCCATCCATCCATCCATCCATCCATCCATCCGTCCGTCCGTCTGTCCGTCCGTCCGTCCGTCCGTCCGTCCATCCATCCATCCATCCATCCATCCATCTCTCTCTCTCTCATCTATCTCTCTGTCTATCTCTCTATCAATCTTTCTGTCTATCTATCTATCTACCTATTCTATTCTTTTCTATTCTGTTCTGTTCTATTCTATTCTATTCTATCCTATTCTGTTCTATTCTATTCTATTCTAGTCTATTCTATTCTATTCTATTCTAATCTGTCTATCTATCTATCCAACTATCCCCCGCTTTGAATGATCCCTTATTACGCAAAGCAAGAAAGCAAAGCTATATTTTTAAATCTATCTATCTACGTACCTACCTATCTATGTATCTATGTATCTATCTATCTTTCTTTCTTAT